CTTGGATTAAAACTAACAAAAAGAGGATATATAACATACTTAAAAGATAAAGAACGACAGGCAAGAATAAGATTATCAAAAATAAAACGCTTTAAGAACCTTAGCATTAATAACAAAAGAAAGATTTATATTGCCCTTGTCAAATCAATTATGGACTACCCACCCATCCCATTGAACACCCTTAGTAAAACGTGCATTAAAAGGTTACAAACAGTACAAAATATAGCCCTCAGATTTATATATAACATAAAATATACAGACCACATCAATAATGAACAGCTACACAAGAGAGCAAACCTCTTAGCAATCAATGTAGATATACACAACAAAGCTGTAAATATTTGGAAAAAAGTGACTGAACTTAACACAGAAACATATCAAAACTGGATAAATAATATAGACAACGAAGAATTCCAAGAACACAGTTGGTTTAAATCAGCCAGGAAGAAAGTAATTGAACCATCTCCTGCCCCAATATACATATAAAACATTAATAGAGAGAATAAAAGATGAGAGTGACCTACCAGCTCCACAAGAACCTGGCAGGCCTCTCCATACAGCGTACCTTTAGACTAACATAACTAATATTTAACATTTAACATTTAACATTTAACATTGAACTAACATCTTAGTAAAAAAAAAAAAATAAATAAATAAAAATGTGACTACCCTCCCAGCTACACAAGGACCTGGGCGGGCTCACTAACTCAAAAAAAAATAAATAAATAAATAAATAAATAAATAAATAAATAAATATTAATAATATTAATAATAATAATGTGATTACCCTCCCAGCTATATCAGCCAGGAAGAAGTAATTGAACCACCTCCTGCCTCAACATACACATTTTTACATAAAACATTACTAGAGGAATAAAGATGAGAGTGACCAACCAGCTCCACTAAGAACCTGGCAGGCCTCTCCATACAGTGTACCTTTAGACTAACACAACTAACACTTAACTAACACCTCAAAAAAAAAAAAATGTGACTACCCTCCCAGTTACACAAGGACCTGGGCGGGCTCACTAACTCCAACAATAACAAAAATAATAATAATAAGCAGTATTATATAAATAAACCAATATTAATACAAAGGTCTGACGACCCAAGGGAGCAGAACAAAGACAAAACACCAATAAGAAAGATGAAGCGATCTGGTTGAGCCCAGATTCTTTCTACTCCTACTGTATTTCAGTTTCACCACTTTTCCTTCAACTCCTAATAATCTTCTTTCACCTCTTAACTAAAGACTTCGTATCGTATCGTATCGCGTCACATCTCTGACATCTCTGACGCTTCTCCATCATTATCTCAGGTATGTGTACGATTTTCCGCCCGCCATATTAAGTCAGTTTAACTCAGTGAATTTTGTGAATATCAGTGTTCATGTTGTAACAGTGAAATTGTCTATTACCCAGTGAAAGAATTAATGCAACGTAACTATTGTCTGTCGTTACTAGACGAAAGATTGTTTATGATTGAGCTATTTTTCACATCTCTGACGCTTCTCCATCATTATCTCAGGCACAGGGTAGGTGTTAGCTGAATACCCAACAGTCACCGGGGGACCGGTAGCGGCATACCAGCTGGCTGTATTGGAAGATGTCGTTAATTTGGCAGGATTAAACTACAACTGACTCTAACAGCGCTCTTCGTTTGTTGTGGAGACACCAGTGTTATACCCTGGGGCACTCCTTACAGTAATATGGGCCAAAGTATTATTGTTGTATATGATTGGAGATAATTAGCAGGAATATTGTTATCCCACAAAAATTGGTAGTATCAGTAAATATGTACGTGAGGTGAGTACATCAACTGAAGGAAAAGTGCCATGTTATTCATTCCGAACTAACATGTTGTTATAAGTTAATTCAGGATATTGTCAAGTGTGTCTTATAATCATCTGTATTGATAATGAAATAATATAATGCTTGTTATCTCCGCTGGCTTATTATGCTGGTGTCAGTTGCTGACGATCGCTACCTTGCACGAACAAACATGGATCTCTCAGCCTGCTGTTGCCTCGTAAGAAATTGGCGGCTGGAGGAGAGTGGTGTTTACGGACAATAGATCCTGAATCTGCTGAATGTATAGTTTAAGGTGGCGTGGCTCTCATGAGGCAAATAGCCCTTCCGAGTGATGCCCCGCCCCCCACCCCGCACGCGACCTGTGACCTCGCCAGACTCTGGCACCACCGGGAGTGTTATCACCGCTGGCGTCAATACTGACGAGTGAGTACTGGCGTGTGAGTGCTGGCGTCTGCTGCCTTACCCGAACAAAGATTGGGGGGTGGGAGGTGTTTACGGAGAAGAGGTCCTGATTCCGCTAAATGTATGGTTTAAAGGGTGGCGTGGCCGCCTGGACTCCAGGAGATCACACTCTCGAGTGATGTTGTAAGGAGCAACCCGCTGCTCTCACTGGCAAACACCAACTCAATCCTGTCCAAGAATTTGTGCTGAGACAATTTACGCAGACACTGTTGTCTCTTGGAACACCATACTGATCTGCATTTACCCACACTTGTAAGTACAGCATAAGTGATGACATACCCCTCGGTACTGAAATATTGTTAACTAATTACGTCTACTTGTTTCTGCCTAACCTAGAGTAATAAGACAATGCAGAATGAAGCGAAACTAAGATTAATAGAGTTATGAACTTTGTGTTATGGCTGTATGTTTAATAAATTGTAATTAAGATAAAAGTGTGAGACTAACTAATTATGTATCAGATGAATCACCATGTAATATTATGAACATCTCCTCTGCAGGTTTTCATCACATCAATATATATTGAATGCGTCAAAAGACGGGTTTCAATCATTCCCTTCGACTTGCCCTTCACCTGAAACGTCTATAACCATGGCGTTTATAATGCTTGTTTAATGTTGTAGCCAAGAATTGAAGATTTATTTTGCTACGTGTAAAAGTAATACCTAAGGGTCCCGTCCTATCTGAGCGTGTCAAATAACCATCTTACTTGTCAAAGGAATAATACAACAGGTGTTCAATGAGATAATAAATAATTGAAGATATATTTTATGAATGGTAAAGTAAGACTTAGGTGGTCCAGTCTTGTCTGAGTGTGCTCAAATAACATCTTATTCACTCCTTATGTTGATAAATATTAATTTAGTAAACTACGAGTATCACCACTCTATTCCTTCTACCCATTGGTTCTCAGAAAATAACCCTTGTAACTCACGTGCCTAGAAGCTCGCTAGCACGCTACCTAACAGTTCACTAAGATATGTTATATTCTAATAAAAGTCTCGGTGGTGGCAGGCTACCGTTGTAAGTAATAAGTGTTATAATAATAATGACATGGTTTCCCAGACTAATCCATAGTTTAGAATATAACTAGAACAGAATATAATTGAGAGAAAGTAAGGACATGAAATTCAGAAAATACAATGATATATATGAAAAAATAAATGAAGTAAATAAAAGAATATTGTCTTAGAAAATATAAGCAAAGAAATATAAGATATATACTTATAGAACGAAAGACATAGTATATGAAATTATTAATCTATGTACACCAGAAATGATTAATATAAAGGATAGATATGAGCACACACACACATACACACACACACACACACACACACACAAACACACACACACACACGCACTCACATACACACACACACACACACACACACATCATTCCCCCAACACACCCCCCTCTTCCCACAATACAACCCCCTCTTCCCCAATATACACACTTCCTCTTTCCTGCAACACACACTCACACCACCTTCCCCCAACACACACCACCACCTTTCTCCAACACACACACACACACACACACCGTTCCCCCAACAAACACACACTCACACACACCTCTCCTTCCCCCAACACACCTCCCATTCTTCAACACACACATCCAGACGCCTATCTTCAATACGAAAGTACACAACCAACCCAAATATTCCCATTGGCCACCTGAATGAGATTACCTGAGGGAGGGATATTGAATAGGTAGGGCGGCGGTGTTTCAATCTCCTTCGTCCACGAGTAGGTAGAAACTGAATGAAAAAATAAATAAACAAATATATATATATATAAATGTATATATATATGCAAGTAAATCACTAGGTGTTAATTACATCTTTAGGTGAGTACAGACTGTACTCACCCCTAAAGATGTGAATTACACGAAAGCGCTTGGGAACTTCGTGTTTTCTTCTTTCCTTGTGGTTATCAGCATATATATATATATATATATATATATATATATATATATATATATATATATATATATATATATATATATATATATATATATATATATATATATATATATATATATATATATATATATATAATTGTGGTGGAACTTGAGACAGCAGGAACAAACAACGTTATTGAAAACAACATGAGATGAAATATATTTTTTTAGTCAGATATATTTCACTCGTCAATTCCCCAGCACTGGAAATTGTTTTTGTTTTATTTCCTTTGTATTCTTTTTCGGGATGTGTATAAAAGAATACGTAATTCTGATTCTGTTGAATATCGCGATTCGTCGCTACGTATAATGGTTACTCGAATTCTCTCTCTCTTTCTCTCTTAGCTAAACCTAACCATACCTAACCGAATCTAACCTTCTTTAGGTATGATTTGTCTATCTCTTGATGGTAGAAAATGTCTTAATTGAAAATAACAACTAACAAATTCTATCACATGGGAATTAATATCCCTTTTTGGCAAAACGCCAGTTCCTTTTAGAAGCTTATTCTGCTATTATGCCTATTTAAAAAGACAGACATATACAGTACATATGCCCCAATTCACTATACATATGTGATACCCCAGGATTCCTTCTCTTTTGTAATGAAAACTTTTGTTAATAAGCCACTCCCTAATACCACATATTATGTCATATTGTGGTCCAATGGACTATTTGCCTGACTACTAACCGTGATGGCCTCGGTTCGAAGCCGGCACCAAGAGGTGAATTCGATTAAATTGTTTCATTTGTGTATGTTGCAGGTTCTGATGTGTGATTATTTTGGAGCATCAAACAAAATGGCCTTGAATAAATGAATACTGAAAAAAATACCAATATACTTAGAAAGCTAGAAATACAGTATATGTAGTGTTAAGGACAGTGTGTGTGTGTGTGTGTGTGTGGTTAAATGCGTCTAGTGTTAAGTGTTAAGGTGCAAGCACTGCTTGATTCCTCTCGCTTTCAACTACCGCCGCTGGATAGCCATTGTGGCGAATAGGTAAGCAGCTTGTATAAGTCTTCCACTGCCAGTACATAGCCTCTTCACCATCACAGCTCCTGCTGTGCCTCCTCGTGTCAACACACGGTAACTGGGTGCCTCGTGCGCCCAGGCTAGACAAGCAGGGGATCTTAGAGTAGCAGTGGGCCCCAGAGGGACAGAGCATAAGCCCAATGGCATGTCGACACGTCCTGGTGCCTACCAACCATTGCCCCGCTGCCTTGCGGATTAACCTTGGTCGGTATAAGGCTAAGGGAGTAAACCCCAAACGAAAAATCTGCGATGGAGCCGCGCATCAGGAAGACATGCTTACACAGCACCAACAAGACCCCAACGGTAGGCGGAATAGGTGACCACCATGGGAACCCGATGACTATACCGGCGGAAGAAGGATATGCTTGATGGACAAGCAACTAAGGCAAAACCCAAGAAACTGGGCTATCAGCAGTCCTTTGTAACTCTCCCTCTCCCCAGTCATTGAAACACTTGCACCACTGGATCAGGGAACGGGAGAGCCGAGATGTGAGATTGCAGCCTGCGCTCCTACCATTATCCCGCTCACCATACTTCTAATCACCATCAAAAACCCTATATCCCCAAAAGTCTCATGGCGACGGACGAGCGGCGATGGGGACAGGCATAGATGACGACTGGGAGTCTCTAGTTACAACTCTGCACATGGACCGCACAGATAATATGGTCGTTTATGCACTAGGATCTAGGCAGCAGTGCGATGCTGGCTTATCTGTGCCGCTGAGCAGCCCTTTCGAGGAGCCACTCTGCTCACCCCACATGAGGGGGGGGAGGGGGCCTAGAAAAGAGGCCCTAAGCATAGCCTGCCGAAAAAAAAAACCTGACTGAGCAACCACACCCATTAAGATCATACAGTCGAAAACACAATCCTAATCACAGATCCAAACAAAAATAAACTATACAACCTGCTATGGTCGCTGCATGGAATGTCAAGACCCTTCTGGATACTGGCACAAATGAGCGTCCTGAAAGAAGAACAGCCCTTGTGGCAAAAGAGCTAGCTAGGTATAACATCGACATAGCACCCATTAGTGAGTCCCGACTCGCAAGCGCAGGTCAACTCACAGAACGGCGGACTGGCTATACCTTCTTCTGCATGGGTAAGCCTGCTGCGAAGAGAAACAGCATTTATGGAATTGGCTCTGCCATCCACCAACGCAGCATACACAGGCTAATTGAAATGCCTATTAGGATCAACGAGCGCCTCATGACGCTCAAAGTCCCACTGAATCACTCACATCATGCATTTTTCATGCATGCATACGCCCCAACACTGGATGTAGAGAATGACATCAAGGAGGCCTTTTATGCCGACCTCGACAGCGTGCTAACCTTTATCGCGAGAAAAGATAAGGTTGTGCTCCTTGGTGACTTCAGTGCCAGTGTTGGCAGAGAATCAGAGATGCTGACATTTGGCAGGGAACCATAGGGAGAAATGGACTAGACAAGTGCAATCCCAACGGCCTACTCCTCCTCAGCACGTGTGCTGCACACAACCTCACGATCACAAATACCTTGTTTAGGCAAGCCGATAATTTCAAGGATTCGTGGCAACACTCACGATCCAAACACTGGCATCTCTTTGACTACATCAATGTCAGAAAAAGAGATCGCAGAGATGTCCTCATCACCCGACCCATGCATGACTCAGACCACCGCAACACTCATAATCAGCTTGTCAGAGCCAAGCTATCACTTCACGTTGCCCCAAAACGGCGATGGCAGCAAGTCTCCAAAAGAGGTTCTAACACTAAGCGTCTGGAGGATCCAGCGGTAGCACATGCTTTCAAACAGCAGCTAGAACATGGCCTAATAAACAACCCAACAACAAACGACCTAAATCCCAGTGCCAAATGAGATATTCTCGACACTGTCATGACAAAAACCTGCAAAGAGACCCTCGGCCAGATCGCCTGTATTTATAAGAACAAGGGAGACCGGTTAGACTGACTCCTCATAAACAAACTTCTTCCTAAGGCGAAAAACTTCCTCCCATAATCTCAATGTGGCCTTAGACCATCACGTGACACCACTGACATGATCTTTGCTCCCTGTCAGATACAGGAAAAGTACAGAGAAAAGCGTCGAGACCTGTATATGGGTTTCATCGACCTAACCAAATCCTTCGGATTGGTCAACAGGAAAGCTTTCTGGTGGACCCTCAGCCGTTTTGGCTACCCACCAAAATTCATCACCATTGTGAGGCAACTCCACGATGTCCTGCACAGTGGCGCCCAGTCTCAGTTCATCCCCATCCAAACGGGGCTTAAACAAAGGTGTATACTGGCACCAACTCTATTTTTCATTTACTTGGCTGCCTTCCTTACTCGTGCCAATGCTAATTTAGCCGGCTGGGTGGACATCCAGTACCGGATGAAGGGTCTTTTCAACATAAGACGACTCTAGGCAGGAAAAAATGTGTCGGCAGCTTCCATTACTGAGCTTCAGTATGCATACAATCTAACTCTTGTCGCTCACACTGAATATGACATGCAGGCGATCCTGAACACCTATGCAGATGCACATGCAGACTTCGGCCTTGAGGTGAATGTACGTTAGACTCACATTCTCTTTCAGCCTGCCCCTGGTCCCACCACACCTCCACCATCCATCCAGGTCAATGGTACTATCCTCTGTAATGTTACCCACTATCGGTATCTCGGCTCCCACCCGTCCACCACCGCGGACATCGTTGAAGAGATTTAGCATTGGATCAGATGTGCATCTCAAGCCTTTGGCAGACTCCGAAAGCATGTCTTCAGCTGTATGGAGCTTAAATTATCTACAATGTTACATGTATATCGACCAGTGGTCCTCCTTACCCTGCTATATGGCAGTGAGACATGGGTCACATACAGGAAGCACCTCAAGGCACTTTAAAACTTTCACCAACGTAGTATACGTTCCATCCTCCGAGTTCGCTGGGAAGACATGAGAACAAATGCCAGTATTCTTGCTGACACTAACTGTAAGAGTATCGAGGCTACCATTATCCATGAACAACTACGCTGGACCGGCCATGTTACCTGCATGGATGAAAGTAGACTGCCAAATCAGCTAATTTACAGTCACCTAAAAGTACCAAATCAACCCCCTCACCTAGGAGACGATTACTCCACACCGTAACGCTTGGAGGATCCCCACACAAAAAGGTGTCAATACTTTCGAGTTAGCAGGACCTCCTAACGAGGCAGACAAGCGCCAACGCCGGAAAGATCGCCCGCACTAGTTGTAGCCCCCTACATGTGCAACATCTGTGATCGACCCTACCAGTCCCGTATCGGCCTCTTTACTCACCTCGGAAATCACCAACTTAGGTAACATCCTTAATAACTCATATCATTGTATCTTAGCTGGATGATCGTCATATTCGATTCCGAGTGACAGCAAAGTAGTAGCAGTAGTAGGCAGCAACAGGTAACCTGCAAGCTTGTGCTGGCCACCAGGCTGGAGGGGAAGCTGCCATTCACGCCATGAGAACGATATTTAAGCAGCGTGATTGTGAGGCCGTTCTCCTGGTGGACGCTTCAAACGCATTTAACATACTTAACAGCAAGGCCGCACTGCACAACATGAAGATCAAGTGTCCAAGCTTTGCAATGTATGTTGAAAACTCTTCTAGGAATTCATCAAACCTCTATATAGTAAACAACAAGGCTCTAAGAGGTGATACCATCATACAGTCAACCGAGGGAACAACGCAGGGGGACCCTGTTGCAATGGTAATGTATGCAATAGGCCTATATGAGCTCCAACACACAATAAAATTTGAAACAACTGAGGTCAAGCAAGTGGCGTACGCTGACGACCTTACAGAAGCAGGAAAAGTGGAGGACATAAAAAAGTGGTCCACAAATAGGCTACCACCCAAACTCCAGCAAGTCCTTCCTCATTGTGAAGCCAGAACATTATGAACGGCAATGGAGGTGTTCGGTGGAAAAGAGGTCAAAATAACAAAGGATGGCCAAAGACATCTAGGCGCAGTAATTGGCACGACAGACTTCAAGACCGAGTACGTAACGGGAAAGGTGAATGAGTGGGTTAGGGAAATTCAAGCTTTGTCTGAGATCGCTAACAAAGAGCCACATGCGGCTTTAGCGGCATTCACCCATGGAGTCAAGAATCGCTGAAACTATCCTGATGCACACTATCCCTGATATCGGACCCCTCCTTCACCCTCTGGAAGAAGCTATCAGCGTCAATTTAATTCCCAAATTAGTGAAACACCCTCACTTAACCCAAGCAGAAAGATCACTCCTTGCACTACCACCGAGACTGGGAGGTATGGGATTGACCAATCCAGAGGAGATTGCTGCCACCGAACTTCAAAGCTCAGTTAAGCTCACTGCAGCCCTCACGGACCACATAATAGCTCAGAATGCAACAGGGGAGGTGGATACCAGCGAAGTAAATAAGATTCGAAGATCCATTACGACAGAACGACAGCACGGCCAAAGTGATAAGTTATAGCAACTGTTGCTGCAAGTACCAGAGAATTTGAAAAAAAAAGCAGCTATAGCGCAGGAGGTAGGCGCCTCGAACTGGTTAACCACGTTGCCAATAAGGGCAAATGGTTTCAGTCTCAATAAACAAGAATTTATAGCGCAGGAGGTAGGCGCCTCGAACTGGTTAACCACGTTGCCAATAAGGGCAAATGGTTTCAGTCTCAATAAACAAGAATTTACAGATGCCAATGCTCTAAGGTATGGTAGGCTAGTAGAAGGTTTGCCATCCCATTACGTGTG